GCCCCCCACGCTGAGCGGGGTGGGGGGGGGTGTTGGGAGAGTAGAAATCTCCACATATTATATGTGCTACGGTTGAGAAACACTAGTCTAGCTGGTGGCTCAGTGTGCCATGCAAACAGAGACCGATTTCAGAATAAGCCGCAAAACAGGCCATGCTCTTACAAGCAGCTATGCTTGCTCCTTCTAGGTGCTAGGGACTCCAGGCAACAACCTCCATGAGGTGGAGACTGCTGAGGGGAAGCGGTTTCTGGTGAGCATGCCCACCAAGTTCCGTAAGAATATCTGGATCAAGAGAGGTGAGCAGCAGGGTGTCCTTGTACTGCCGGGGGGGGGGAATGGCCCTCTTCCCCACATCACAGCAGCCCTTCCTCCCTCCAGGAGACTTCTTACTGGTTGATCCCATAGAAGAAGGGGAGAAAGTGAAAGCAGAGATCAGTTTTGTCCTCTACAAGGACCACGTTCGGTACCTTAAGAAGGAAGGATATTGGTGAGTATCTTTACGAGATAAGAGAGCCGCAAGTTCTGAAGAAAAGGAGGGGAAATGCACTCATTTTTCTTACGGCATCTTTGTTTTAGTGCTTCCTTAGACCCAACACCCTTTCCTGATGTATTTTATCAAGGGAGAGTAAAACATTTTTACTGCAGCTTCTCGGTTTTTGACATTAAAATTCCGAAGGGGTAAATGACTCTTATAAACTCTTCTGCAACAATATTATGGCACCCTCCATTTTTTTTGGCAGGCCTGATGCTTTCTTAGGAGACGTAAAAGGAACTCGAAGCAGCACTAAAGAAAGGTAAATGGGAGTCCTGGACCCCCGTGGGAGTGGCATCAGGGCATTTCAAAGGCACTCGTTGATGAGTAAATGCTAAACGGGAAGAGATTGCTGTCAGTTATCAATATTTTATGTTAACGTTTTGGGAAAGTCAGTTCCGGTTTCAGTAGGTGGCCTTCGTATTTGGAACCACCAAGCAATAACAGAGGTTTTATTTCAAGTCTTGATGCTCATTCTTTAAAAGCTCTAAACTTCCATTGGTGGTTTCTTGATCATTATGATCTTAGGATAGGAGCTTTCAAACATTTTTACCAATCCAGCCATTTTAGCAATAAGCCCCTTCTCCCCCTTGTAGAATGTTACCTATTTTAAGTAGCTTTTGCTCACCAAAGTTATTAAACCTTAAAGAGCATACACCAGCCGGCTAAAATGATGATTAACATGACTTGCTTTAAAATTGGATATTTAAAATCTTTCATCTAAATTATATTTTGTGGCAATTTAGCTCAAAGTGTGATGGAAATAATTGAAATTGAATGACTGAGGTTGCTTTTCCCAAGAACCCTTTTTTATCTTTCTAGTAGAGAGGGGGTACAAAGCCCACCTCAGTCTTCTGGAGAAGAAGATTCTGAGGATGACGACACTGACCTGTTCGTGAACACAAACCGCATAAGTTATGACTATATGGAGAGTGAGGAGAGCAGTGACTCAGAGGAAGAAGAGAAGTAACAGCCAGTCTCATGGAGCAGACCAAGCCGGCCAGATCCTGGTGTAGTGGGAAGGAATGTGGCTCAGGTCTCAGCCACTGAGCGTGGACTAGCTGAGGGGTTCAGAAGCAGCAACTCTGCCTCCCAACCTTCCGAAGGGCCACAGGAGACCATCTAGTGAAATGACGGTATCCTCAGAAGGGGCATAGCTGAATTTCTTTGGCTCATTTTTTATTTGCTTTTTTTCCCAGAGTTTTAAGAATAGGTTAGGAAGGGGGAGGCCGGCTGCTCCCATCTCCACAATTAAACTGCTGCCCCGAAACTGCCCAAAGAGTTGCTGCTCTTGGGGCCAATTTGGGGTTGTAGTTTTTTATTTGGGGTTTGAAGCTGCGATTAAGTGCTGGAGGCTGCTGTAGGAACTTTCAACAACCTGTTGCAGATAAGGAGTGGAGCGGAAGCTGTCCTTTGTTCAGTGCATCAGCTTGCCTCTACTGGATATCTTGACTGTACTCGAATTCTCTCCCCATTTCTTTTGCCTTTATTTAATAAAAGTGTACTCGAAATGCAGCGAGCAGTGAATCTGATACTTCCTCCAAGTGCCAGCCATTTTGCGGGAACACAGGCATGAAATCTTCCCGATCAGTTTACAGAGGGGAATATGTCTTGGCTTTAATTAGACCTGGGCTTCCTTGGGTTAAGCAACTGAATCTCAGCATCATGCATGGATACCTATGTTATGTTTTCAAAAAACCTCCAAATTGGAAAATGGGAGTAAATGTTCCTCGCATTACCTTGATGAAAAGACACGGGGACCCAGCTACAGAAAGGTAGCGATGGTGGTTTCGTGCCTTCCCAGTCTTAGTTGGGATGAAGCCTCTTTCTAAATTTAAAGCAGCAAACCTGCTTATTTGAGGTTGACGGTTGGAAAACGCAATAGAGCAGCGTTGTCCAAACTTGGCCACTTTAAGATGAGTGGACTTCAACTCCCATGCTGGCTGGGGGAATCTGGGGGTTGGAGTCCCCTCCTCTTAACGTGGCCCCGTTTGGACCCCACTGCCCTCGCGGTTCACCGCGCCGCGCTGCTCCCTGCGCTCCGCTTGCTTCCCCC